TATATATATATATATATATATAATATATATATATATATATGTTATATATATATATATATATATATATATATATATATATATGTATATATATATATATATATATATATATATATATATATATATATATATATATATATATATATATATATATATCATTGCATTATAGCTTGTTTAACACTTTAATTGTATTTAAATGCAACAAATGTTTAATATGTTTGTTCTAATAAATTCTAAATGAATGTGATGTCTGAAAATACTTTAATAGTATTTAAATTTATATATTATATAAGTATTTGTTATTAATATTTTTATTATTAATAATAATATTAGTAACAATACTTATATAATATATAAATAAATATAATAATATATATTATAAATTATATTATAAATTATATTATATATATATATATATATATATATATATATATATATATATATATATATATATATATATGTATATATATATATATATATATATATATATATATATATATACACACTTTAATTGTATTTTAATGCAACAAATAATGTTTAATATGTTTGTTCTAATAAATTCTAAATGAATGTGATGTCTGAAAATACTTTAATAGTATTTCAATTATTTGAACTTTCTGGAATTTTATTCTAGCATAAAATATTTTTTTATTTCCTTATTTTTGACTACCTAAAATGAGTATTCTAAGTACTTCAATTATATGAACTTGTAGAATTTTTTTTTTTTTTTTATTTAAAATGTGGAATTTTTTTTTTTTTTTTATACTTGTGGAATTACTTTATTACAGCATAACATTTTTTAATGTTTTTTTACTTCCTTATTTTTGACTTTATAAAATGAGTATTCTAAGTACTTCAATTATATGAACTTGTGGAATTACTTTATTACAACACAAAATATTTTATTGGTTTTTTTACTTCCTTATATTTGACTGTATAAAATGAGATTTTTTAAATAACAGAAGAAAAATGTTGAGAAAGGTTTTACTTAAAAGTAAGTCTTATTTTTCTTTTCAGCTTTTATTTACTTTATATATATATATATATATATATATATATATATATATATATATATATATATATATATATATATATATATATATATATATATATGTATATATATATATATGACTCATTGATATATTAGTTTCCTAAATATTAAATTAGTGCTAAATATTAAATTTTCCTACATATTATATTTCCTAAATATTAAATTTGCTTTCCTAAATATTAAATTTGCTTGACTTGTTTCATGTTTCTAGATATGTTTATTTTGATTTTCTGAGTTAAATATATTATTATTAATATATCAGCAGGATTCAAAATCAACATTTTGTTTCAAGTCTTCTACAATCTTTCTCACAGATTCGTATGCAATGGCCAGATCCGAACTTGATAAAGCCGAGATAACATCAGATCTACAGAGTGATGTAGATGTTTCGAGACTACGTACAAAACGGTAAATTCAAGTATTATATAGAGTAAATTAATTAATTATATAAAGTAATATTAATTAATTAAACGAAATAGTTATTGTGTTAAAAAACAAATTTCTACGTATATAAACATTGCACTTAATGTAATTTATTATTCCTTTTTGTGTGTGTTTAGTATTCAGAAATATCTTGAAGATGACAACGATAATAGTGATGAGTATTCTGACAAGGATTCTCAGCAAATAAAGAAACAACCCCTTTGCCAAGTTTCTAAGAAAAGGTAAGGTTCTGCAGAAGGGAGCAACAGTCGATCGAAAACTAAATCTCATAAACCAGCCCCTAAAGCACCTCCATTTCCTGTGTCTAGTCCTTGCTCTTTAACACCTTCATCTCCTGTAATCAGTGAACGAGCCATAGCAGAATCAGTTTCACAGCCATTTACTAGAGCTATTGAACGAGGCTCAACAATATGTAACACCTGCAACCACAAGTAGTTGGCAATCTACAACATCTACATCTGCCGCTTGTTACCGATCTTCAACACATGCAGCATCAGAATTGCATACAATATCATTTGTTTCAGCAGGCGCCTTTATAGAAGGAGAGTTAGAACAAATGATAGCCAACCTTTTTCCTAATATTCCGACTAGCTTGTCAATTCCAGCTACTAGTTTGAATGCCACAGAATTAGAAGGATGGTTTTCTCTCTAATGGAAAGCGGAAGTTTTACTCCATCATTTGCCACTTTTCTACTTAGACGACTCAAACAATTACTTTTGTTAAAAATTAGTTATGTTAAATGCTGCTGCCTTATAGTTTCTTCAGAAACGTTTTAAAAGTTGTTTCCCATATTCATAATGTAGTTACATTTTTCGTGTATTAATACCCAGACAGCAAGCTTACATTGGACCAACGTTGGGCCAATGCATGATCATGCATTGGCCCAACGTTGAAAATCGATGTTAGCCCAATGCAGGTTTGATCATTGGTTAGGTATTGGCCCAACCTTGTGTACAACATTGGCCCAATGTTGTATACAACGTTTACCCAACATTGGCCCAACGTTGTATATAACGTTAGGCCAATGTTGTATACAACATTGGCCCAACGTTGTATACAACATTGGCCCAACGTTGTATACAACATTGGCCCAACGTTGTATACGACATTGGCCCAACGTTGTATACAACATTGGCCCAACGTTGTATACAAAAATGGCCTAACGTTGTATACAACATTGGCCCAATATCATATATCGGCCTAACGTTTTATGCAACATTTGATCGTTGTTACAAATAAGATGATTTGCATCGCTACATTAAAAATTTATAGAGAAAAAAAAGAATGTATTATACAAGTATAAAAATTTATTTATTTAACATAATTTCTCGGTTAAATATACACATTGCAAACACCGAACTTAAACCAAAAACTGACACATTGAGTTTCAAATAAAAAAATTCACTATAAAATTTATAGAGTACAGACGTGTTCAAATTATTAGACTAAAATTTTTTTCTCGTTTTTTTTTATTTTTATAAAAATATTACAGATATAACGTTCGTAAATATAAAAAAAAAAACCCTAATTAATACTTGGTATGGAGCCCCTTGACTTTAATAAGCATATTAATGCGGCTCGGCATGCTTTCTACCAGAGTTTTACAAATGTTTTTGATGTCTTGGTCTTGATGCCATATTTATATCAGTTTTTCGATGAGTTGCACTTTGGTGGTAATTGTTTCTTTCTTGATCTTTTTCTTTACAACAGCCCACAAATTTTCAATGGGGTTCATGTCGGGACTATTTCCTGGCCACGGCAATGTCTTGATTCTGCTCTGCTGAAGAAATTCTGTCACTTTTTTGGCTTTATGACACGGAGCCCCATCGTGCATAAAAATTACATCTCCCTCTGGAAACCATGTCTTAATTTGGAGCATTAACCTATTTTGTAGCACTTTAATATATTGTACATGATTCATGGTGCCTTCTACGATGTACAACATTCCCGGTCCGTGTATTGACATGACACTCCACACCATAACAGACGTTGGATGCTTGACACTCTGGCTAACACACTCTGCCTTGAACTCTTTTCCTGGTCTTCTTCGAACATATTGGCTCTGTTCTTCCACCACCAAAAAGATGGATTCATCGCTAAAACATACCTGGATATAATAAATATACAAAAGAGTTCACAGAAACACTTTGCAAAAATTACAGATAAAATTTGAGAGATTCTTTAGAAAAAAAAATTGCCTAAATTTTTTTAGAACTCATCTTCATATTTAAAATAAATTTTGATATCAAATGTTAAGTGAAAACTCTCAAAATGACTTTGAATACAATTTTTGCATACATTTTACCTTACTCCAGTCATAGATAGACATGTTTTCATGAATTTTAGCCCATTCTAGCCTCTTTTTAGCCATCGCTGGTGTAACCTTTTGTTTTTTTCGTGGACGACGACTTCTCCGAACAGTAACTGGAGAAACATCGACTCCTGCTTCATTAAGTTGTTGACACAACACCTTAGATGTGGCTCTTCTGTTATTAAGTGCCATTTTAACCAGATTTCTTTGTGTCCTTGGGGTTATTTTTCTCTTACGACCACAATTCCCTATTCTGTGGTGCTCATATGGCTCTTGATTATCAACACATTTTTTTATTCTGCTTACTGTTTTCTGACTTACACCAACTTTTAAAGCTATTTGAGTTTGTGTGTAAACCCTTTCACCCAACAAAGTTTTTACAGCAGAATATTTTTTGGGGGAAATATCATTTTTTTTGCCCATTGTTAAAATAAATTAATTTCACCAGTTTTACTGTACAATTCCTAAACAAAAACATTTTATTAGTAAATTCGAATTAAGTTTTTATACATAAAGTAATTTTGTAAAGAAAATAAATTAAAAGTAATTAAAATTACTTTAAAATGACACCCAAACAACTGCTGCAACGTTTTGCTACTAAAGGAAAAAAAACATGCGCTGACTTGCCTCCCAATATTGAAAACGCTCTAACAAAAAAAAAGTGACGTTGCCAAATATAAAAAGTATGTAAAAACATTAGAAAAATGTCATATTTTATACCTAACATCTTTTAACTGTTATACTTGTGAAAATGTAATAGATATTTGAACTCAATCACGGAAAATAATTTTCTTAAATCTATAGTCTAATAATTTGAACACGTCTGTAGTTTCGATATTGGCTGAGCTACTTGTTATTGAATCGTGTTTAGCTTATGATATTTGGTACCCACGATTATTATTTTTTCTTCCACTATCTCTATCACATGTCTGCATAAGCCATGCTTATTTGACTTCACAGTTTCTACAAAAAAAATAGTTGTTTGTTTAATTATGCACCAAAGAAACATAACAAATTGAAATTATTTCCGTAATGCAAAGTTGAGACTGAAAAAATAAACTTTTCTAAACCACTTACCAATAGCAACATATGCAATCAACATTTTTCCTATTCCAATTTTTTGTCCTCTCCCTGTATAGTTTAATTTTACAGCTATGCCATTTTAAAAAACAATTCTTAGTAAATAACATATACAATCTCCTTTGTCTTTAACTCCAAATTGTGCCAAATAATTGACCTGCAAAAATACACAACCTGGCAATAATTAAAGTAACTTTTGTTTAGACTTAAATTAATATAAAATGTCATTTACAAGAAATCTTCAAAGAGTACTTTATTTAAAGTATATAAGTTGTACTAAGATATCATACAAAATGCTTATAGGGATCATAAAAAAATACTACCTTTGTTACTCAAATTTTTATAACTGAATTTGATGTGTTTTGTATTTCACCAAGTTGCACCTCAATGCTTGCCCATTGTGCCAATAATACCAGCATATCTTTCAAGGACACAACTTTATCTTGAACATTAAAGTTAATTATATTATTAAGAAACTATACAACTAATTACATATTATATTTAGAATTTATGAAAGTAAATACAACAATCACTAATAAAACAGATAAAATTAAAGAAAGAGAGTCAAATTTTTAATGATAAAAATATATACTTGCTAATGGATTCATAATATTTTTATGAATTATGAAATTTGCTGGTGTGCATTTAATTTCTGGCTCTGACACAAGACAATTTTTGTTAATGTTTAAGCTTACACATTAACGAGAATTGTTTTGTGTTTCTTATAAAATAGAGATTGCACTGTACAACAAAAAAATTCATATTAAAACAATGTTTCTCCAACAACAGGGTTCGTAGTCAACAATTTATATAAAAATCAATGACTTTTTTGAAAAATCAGATGAATTTCCCTGACCATTTTTAACAATCATTTTTACAAAATGTCTAAAATTACTATCTACTGTAATGGAAATGCTAAGATTGTACATGCTTTCAATGACAAAACTTTTATAACTTAGCTATTAGTTAAGTTGGATATTAGTATGGAGCTTATTATACATGTTAGTATGGATCTTATTATTAAGGATGACTAAAAACGAACACTAAGAAAAACATAAGTTTCAGAAAAATTAAATGGGCAGCACCAAAAAAAAACATATTAGCTTAATTGAGTGCTGTATTTTGAAAATGTGACAACTCACATAATTAAAATTTTACAAGAAAATGAAAAACGTTTCTCCTGTAAAAAACTTTATTTTTATTTTATCTAAAAATTGTTTCTTTTATCCAAAAAAAATCTTTATTTTATCTTATAATTTTATCTTTTTCTAAAAAAAAAATATTCTTTTCAAATAATCTCACTTTCATAAAAGGTGTGGTTATTTGAAAAATAAAGTTGTCCAATGTTTGTAAATAATTTTTTTTACATATTTTAATTCTGAACTTTATTAATACAGTTTTTAAAAATAATATCATCTATAAAAATATTTATTACCTTCGTCTATTATATAAATTTAAATAAACGTTTATATAATGAATAATAATGAACCACCAGCAACTGTTAAAACTTTAAACTGATATGAATACTCTGTTGTTTTTTTCAACAGTTCAATTCAAATAGATTTCAAAGTTGGTGTCACCAACTTTGAAATCCAACAAAAAATTTGTGTTACGTTAAATCGACTAGAAAACCTGGCCAGTTTTTCCGTGGTCAGTATAAGAAAGGGATCGCTCTCGCTTCCCGACCAAGCTTTGATATGTTGATTATTACACAATAAAATGTGAATTAACACTTTTTGATCGTAATATATGAAAAAGTTTTTAAAGTTGTAAAAGCTAAAGCTATGAATAAAGATTTTCAATCATCAGACATAAAGACTTTTATATAAAAACTTACCATTTAATAAATTTGTTCATTCAACTTCTCAGAGCAAACATTGAACTTCAGTAAAGAGTTTAGAGTTAAAGGTAAATCATAAAGTTTAAAAACATTTTTTGTTTTATAATTACAAAATGAAGATAAATTGTCTACACCAAGATATACACAATTTTTTGTCTCTTTAATCTTTATTTTGACTGGTCATTTTCGCTGTCTTCCTTTTTTGTCTCCAGAGCAGAAATTTAGCCTTCTGCTAAACTCAATCTTGTATTGCTTTAAAAATCTATAAATCAAATCATTGATAATTAAGTTATAACTAAAGTTAATGTATAAGCTTAAAGTTGTTAATTGCTGTACGCAAACTAAATATGAAAAATAGCCAAAATTGTTAAATTAAAAAAAAAATTAAACCTCAGAAACATGGAATATTAGAAAGCTCTACATACGTAGACTATAAGTTCTAGTAACATCACTTTTTGTACACTGTTTTTATATGTTAGTAGATGGGGTTTCATAATCAAACACAGAAAAAAATCAAACAAAAGAGACATTTAAAATGTAAAATATCAGCTTTTAACAACTTCAATGTCATTGCCACATATATATTATTGATACCTTTAATAATATATCTTATAATAGCTAAATAATTTAAACTATTATAAATAAATTATGAAAAAAAAACTTATACTGTATGACATTTTAAATGTTTGATTTACTTAATAAAGAAGACATTTAAAATGTCTTTTTTATTAAATAAATCGAACATTTGAAATGTTTCATTTATTTAATAAAGATTA